GTGTGCTGTGCCAAATTTCGTGCAAATCGAAAGATATTTAGGGACATTGGCGCACCATTTACCTTAAATCGGACGAAAATATTTAAGGGAGCTATATCTAAATCTGAACTGATTTTCACGAAACTTGGCAGACATCATTCTAGGCAACATTCAGTACGTTATGCTAAATTTCGTGCAAAACGAAAGATTTTTAGGGACTTTGGTGCACCATTTACCTTAAATCGACGAAATTATATATGGGAGCTATATCTAAATTTGAACCGATTTTTAATAGGGTTCGTCCTTGGGCCAAATAAATGAGCTGTGCCTAATTTCATCCAATTCGAATCATAAATGCGACCTGTACTTTGTTTACAATTTAACATCAACAGACGGGCCGACGGACGGACATGCATAAATCGACTCAGAAAGTGATTCTATGCATATTTTCAAAAGGAACCATGGGTCTATCTCGTTTCCTTTTGCCTGTTACAAACATATACACAAAGACATAATATCCTGTACCACAGGATTTGATATTTGAAACCCATTCGATTTACTAAATCGGTTACAATGTAAATGTACCATATGTTTCTAATAATCACGTGCAGCCTCTATAAATACACCTTGCTTTCAAAATGTTCCGCTTTTAAAAAGGCTTCTTTATTAAAAATAAAAGGGGAATCACTGGCCTTCACACTTCCGGGACTTAAATACCCACACTCACTGACACCTGCCATCCTGTGTGACACTGTATTTAAAAATAAATTTATGTTAAAATAACCTAATAATTTTTTTTACAATTATCAGTACAATCTCAATTGAAAATCGTAAAAAGGATTCCATAGACAATAACCATACAAAATATTTTCCATATTTGTGAAATAAAAATCTTTCGTATCCTATGATTGGTAAACACGCAGAAATCCACTCAATATTGCAACTAGGTAGGGGGTGTGCACTCAAATATTTATCCAGATGTTCAATTTACTCTTGAGGTAGCCGTCAACTGCAAATTTTCACTCTCTGTTTGGTTAAAATGACACTGCTTTGTCTTTGTAAATAGTCGCTGTTTACTCAGGCAAAGATGACAGACGAGAGGCAATCATGGACAAGAAAACCAGCAATGACTCATATACAGTGTTGCCATATCAATAGAATATGTTGGGGGATATTTTTATCTGGGTCTCCACAAAAATATTCTTTAAAAAATCCACGCCTTATCTGGATCTCCAAAAAATATTCTTTAAAGAATCCACGCCCTATGTGATTTCCAAAAAATATTCTTTAAAAAATCCACGCCTTATCTGAGTCTTCTTTAAAAAATATTTTCCTAGGTCTCCAAAATCCAAAAAATCCTTATCTGGGTCTCCACAAAAATATTCCACAAAAATCCATGCCTTATCTGGGTCTCCACAAAAATATTCTTCAAAAAAAATCCACGCCTTATCTGAGTCTCCACAAAAATATTCTTTAAAAAATCCACGCCTTATCTGAGTCTCCACAAAAATATTCTTTAAAAAATCCACGCCTTATCTGAGTCTCCACAAAAATATTCTTAAAAAAAAATCACGCCTTATCTGAGTCTCCACAAAAATATTCTTTAAAAAATCCACGCCTTATCTGAGTCTCCACAAAAATATTCTTCAAAAAAATCCACGCCTTATCTGGATCTCCACAAAAATATTCTTTAAAAAATCCACGCCTTATCTGGATCTCCACAAAAATATTCTTTAAAAAATCCACGCCTTATCTGAGTCTCCACAAAAATATTCTTTAAAAAATCCACGCCTTATCTGGATCTCCAAAAAATATTCTTTAAAAAATCCACGCCTTATCTGAGTCTCCACAAAAATATTCTTTAAAAAATCCACGCCTTATCTGAGTCTCCACAAAAATATTCTTTAAAAAATCCACGCCTTATCTGGATCTCCAAAAAATATTCTTTAAAAAATCCACGCCTTATCTGGATCTCCAAAAAATATTCTTTAAAAAATCCACGCCTTATCTGAGTCTCCACAAAAATATTCTTTAAAAAATCCACGCCTTATCTGAGTCTCCACAAAAATATTCTTTAAAACATCCACGCCTTATCTGAGTCTCCACAAAAATATTCTTTAAAAAATCCATGCCTTATCTGCTCTCTCCAAAAATATTCTTTAAAAAATTCACGCCTTATCTGAACCTCCACAAAAACATTCTTTAAAAATCCACGCCTTATCTGAGTCTCCACAAAAATATTCTTTAAAAAATCCACGCCTTATCTGGGTCTCCACAAAAATATTCTTTAAAAAATCCACGCCTTATCTGGGTCTCCACAAAAATATTCTTTAAAAAAATCCACGCCTTATCTGGATGTCCAAAAAATATTCTTTAAAAAATCCACGCCTTATCTGGGTCTCCAAAAAATATTCTTTAAAAAATCCACGCCTTATCTGGGTCTCCACAAAAATATTCTTTAAAAAATCCACGCCTTATCTGGGTCTCCACAAAAATATTCTTTAAAAAATGCACCCCTCTTGAAAAAATCCACGTATTATCTGGGTCTCCAAATAATATTTTCTTAAATTCCACACCTTATCAGGTTGTTGTTCCCAGTTACTAATCTATATTTAAATTTTGGAATTTTCTGCCCAACAAATCTTAGAGGACCATTCCAAACTATAGCCTTAGAATTTCCATAATTTCGTTAATTGCCATGTGTAAACTCTCTAGTAACATTACAGTATATTTTGAAATTTCCCTATCAAAAAAAAATGGTATATAATTCTCAAATACAATTTATTTAAATCAATTAATTTTCGACCGTTTTTCCCAACAAAAAAATCCTCCACAATCACAATATGGCAACACCCAGCTTTATACTTGCTTTATTTTTCCATAACTTGCCTATAATTGTCATGTGTAAACCCCAGGTAACACTATTCAATATTTACAAATAATTGAATTTTTCTACCAAAAAAATCTTCTACAATCAAAATATGGCAATACCCATCTTTACAAACTATTTATTTTTCATTTTTTGCATATAATTGTCATGTATAAACCCCCAGTAACACTGCACAACATTTTCAAATAATGGTATTTTTCTACCAAAAAATCCTGTACAAACAAAATATGGCAACGCCCATCTTTACTAATTATTTATTTTCCATTATTAGCTTATAATTGTCATGTGTAAACCCCCAGTAACACTATTCAATATTTTCAAATAATTAAATTTTCTACCAAAAAATCCTCTACAAACTAAATATGGCAACATCCAGCTTTATAATTGGTTTATTTTCCATTATTTGCTTATTTTTCCATAACTTGCCTATAATTGTCATGTGTAAACCCCCAGTAACACTATTCAATATTTTCAAATAATTAAATTTTCTAGCAAAAAATCCTCTGCAATCAAAATATGGCAATATCCATCTTTACAAACTATTTATTTTTCATTTTTTGCATATAATTGTCATGTGTGAACCACCAGTAACACTGCACAACATTTTCAAATAATTGAATTTTTCTACCAAAAAATCCTCTACAAACTAAATATGGCAACATCCAGCTTTATAATTGGTTTATTTTCCATTATTTGCTTATTTTTCCATAACTTGCTTATAATTGTCATGTGTAAACCCCCAGTAACACTGCAGAACATTTTCAAATTATGACATTTTTCTACCAAAAAATCCTCTACAAACAAAAAATGGCAACGCCCATCTTTACTAATTATTAATTCTTCATTATTTGCTTACAATTGTCATGTGTAAACTCGGTATAACATTACCCAAATATTTTTTTTAAATTTTTGGAATTTTCCTACCCAAAAAAAATATTGCTCTACAATCCCCAAAATCTGGCAACACCTTGTAGTTGTTTATTGTACTCACAATGAGTGAAGTATCTGTTGCTTACATGCTGAGAACATGCCTTGTTGTGACTGAGAACCTGCCTTGTTGTGTATTAACGCCGTTAACACATAACACTCTCCCGTTAATTTAACGGGAGAGTGTGAGTGAGTGTGCGAGAGAGCAAAAGATACTCGAGTGTCGTCGTCGCTGCTGCTGCTGCATTTATTTTCGTGTGTGTTTTGCATTGACGAACTCAGTTGGTTATAACGGCTCGTCGTATTTTGTCCGTTTCAGTGTAGAAACGGAAGAACAACCAGACAGTGTTGTATGAAACTTGCAAGAAATAAGTTGTGTGAAAGCAAATAATAATAAACAAAAGAAAAAAGAGTGTGCAAAACTCTGCGGAAAGAAAGAAAAAAAAATATTTTGAAATATATATTGAAACAAGAAAGAAATTTTAATGTGAAAAATTATAGAACTGAAAAAACAAAGAATCGCGGAAAAAAATTTATTGAATAGACACACACACACAAAACAAAAAATATTGAATTTGGAAAACCAAGAAATATACATATATATAGATAAATTTGAATACCCACCAAAAAGCAACAACTTAAATGGGAACTTTGAGCTATTTCATAAATTTATGTTATTACAATCAACATCGTGGTCGAAGTTGTGGCTATAGAAAATCAAATATTTATAGACCGAATACTTAGGGGGAAAAAAATAAATATTTGTGAAAAAAAAAATTTCCTGTTTTTCGAAATCTAAGGACTTTTTGGATTTTTGTCATTAAAAAAAATTATTTTTTTGTGAAAAAAAATTGTGAAATAAAATTTAACCAAAATTCAAACTTCAACCTGTGGCATTTCTTTTGGCATAAACTTACAACGCAAAAACAAAACCCAAACAAAATACAACCAACTAGAATATCAACTTACTACTAGTGCTATAAATACCTATAAAAAAATAAAATACAAAAAAAAAAAACAAAACAAAAGGCGTCAAGTATCTTTAAGATACAATATCCCCTTATACTATTATATAAATATCTATCTAGTCACCTAGCTAGAAATAAAATAAAATCTAAACTTTAATAAAAAAAACAAGAGTGCTAAACGAAGGATTCCTAAACAACAGTTATCTCAAAAAACAGAAAAAAAATTCTCCAAAGGTTAAATCACCCCCCTTCAAACAGCAACAAAATGTGGTGCATTGTGAATTTGCCGAACGGTACCCAGCAGGCTGTCAAATGGGATCCCAAAGCCATTGGCCAAGAATGCTTAGAAAAGGTAAATTTTGAAAAAAAAATATTAAAAAAAAAAATATTTCCTTTATTTTTCTTCCAAGTTCCTTATGGTAGTTAGGTTCTCTTTATTTTCCATCTTTGAAGTGTTGAAAGTAAACAAAAAAAAAAACTCTATGGGCAACAAACAATTGTGTGTGGTTTGTTGTTTGTCTACCAGCCAGCCAACCAGTCATTTTTTTTTATTCAGCAAGGGTCCAAAGTTCATATTCGGTTTTGTGTGCGTTTTTTTCTTCACGTATTTATACCCCCGTTGCGGTTAAAGTCATTCCGGCACAAGTATAAACGCACCGCTCTCTATAGTATATTGAATGTTTTCTTTTTTTGCAATTTGTTTTTAAACTCTTCCACCTCCCTCTCTCTCTGTCGCTCGTAGTCGGATATTCACAATAATGTTCATGTGTTGCTTGGTTGTAAGGTGTATACCATGTTTTTTTTCCTTGTTTGTTTTGTTTGTTATATCTCAGTCACACAGTTCTCCACCACACAAACAACAACAACAAAGACAGCTGAAAACGGAAGAGCTACACGTTTAAGCTCTTCCATGCAATTCTCTTTAATTAGAGTTGTAAGGCAATTATATAAAAAACGCACACACACACACACACAGATCTACCATATGGAATCAAAGATTAACAATTAGTGGTGGTGGTCGTCGTGGCGACTTATACGGAAACAGGTGTTGTGCCGCCCTTACATTTGACATGCGTGCATGTGTGTGTGAGTGCGTTGTAGTGCAACCTAATTAAAAGGTGGGCAATTCTAATTATAAAAATGCAGGCATTAGAATGCCAATAGAGGGTAAAGGTGGTTTGATAGATGTCAAATATGGCAGTGCAACCTAATTAAAGGGAGGGAGAAAATTGAATAACATTTGATCTATAGTATATGGAAATTATTAGTTTGTTTAAACCAGGTTCAACAACCATTGGTCATGTATACGGAAACAGCTGGTGTATTAACATTTGACATTTGTGTGTGCAGTTTAGTGCAACCTAATTAAAAGGCGTGCCAATTGTTATATCTGCTATGCACAATATTCATTCAGAATGCGGATATTATTGTATACTGTTAATATGGTTTGATATTTTTTTTTTAAATCTTACAGTACAACAGAATTAAAGTGAGGGAGGTAGTAGAGAAAATCGTTCACATTTGATCTATAGTGTACGGAAATTATTAGTTAGTGTAAACCAGGTTCAACAACAATTGGTCATATATACGGAAACAGCTGGTGCGCAACATTTGTGAGCAGATTATAGAGCAACCTAATTAAAAGGTGTACAAATTATTATATCTGGTATGCACAACATGCATTCAGAATGCGGATATTATGGTAGAGTGTAAAGGTGGTTTGATATTTGTCAAATGTTGCAGTGCAACCTAATTAAAGGGAGGGAGGCAATTGAGAAAATCGTTGACATTTGATCTATAGTATACGGAAATTATTAGTTTGTGTAAACCAGGTTTAACAACCATTGCTCATATTTACGGAAACAGTTGGTGCACTAACATTTAGAACAACCTAATTTAAGGGCGTGCAAATCATTATATCTGGAATAAACACCATGCTTTCAGAATGCGGATATTATTGATATTTGTTAAATGTTGTTGTGCAACATAATTGAAGGGAGGAAGACAATTGAGAAAATAATTCAATTTGATCTATAGAAAAAGGAAATTATTTGAGAGTGTATATAGCCGTGCCACATAATTAAAAGTAGGTAGGCAATTTAGAAAAAGTATCACATATTATTAAGCATAAATGTACAGCAAGTAAATTACAAGACAGTGTAAACTGGCTATACACACTAATAAACTATGCATGCATTTAGAATGCGGATATTATTGTACAGTATAAAGGAAATTTAATTGAGAGTGTAAACAAGGTATAATTACTGGTATTTCATTAAATAGTGGCATACTTTGAGGAAATGTATCACATATTATTAAGCAAGCATTTACAACAAAGAAGTTACTAGACAGTGTAAACTGGGTATACACACTAATATGCTAAGCACGGATTCACACATGGCATAATTACACAAGGTAGTCTCATTTGAGAAATTAATAATGGCAACCCTTTTTAGTTTGGAACTCATCCATCAATTTCAAATTCTTTGAAAAAAAAATTACATAAAATTTTATGCACGTCGATTGACATTTTTTTAATTAAAAATGTAATTTTTTTTAAAGATTTAAGTATTTTAATTCTATTCCTAATTGAATATAAATATACATGCTATGTACAGACACACTTAGTTTTTAATCCGGAATTGCGGCCAAAAAATGGAATGTTATAATGGATAAAAAAATTGTTTAAATTACCATAAGAGGGATTCACATGGTCTAATATTCAATGAATTTCACAATTTAAATTAAATTTAGAACTTTTTACCGGGTTAATCTACTTTATGAGGATTTATTTCACATATATGCAATGGGATTGACAATTTATAGCACTGGGTATAATAATTCTAATATAAATTTTCTATACAATTTTGTAAATGTGAACGTAGCTTTATAAAACTGTTTTAAAGCAACAAAATAATTTTTGGAACGTTTTAAACAGAAATTACATAATAATGCTATTGTGATTGAATTACCCTCGGACGGTACGCATTTTTGTAACATTTTCATTAAATTAAAATAGAAAGCACACAAGTGTTTGTTTTGAGTTTAAATTAACATAAGGGAGGTTCACATTATAAAATATTCAATGAAATTGACAATTTATATGATATACATTTTGGAACGTTTTTTAATCCGTTTGGTTTTTTTAACATATCCTCAAAGGGATTGGTTTATACAAGGTCAATTTAACATATTAAACCAGAAACTATACAAAAACGTTATTGTGATTGACAGCACAAGTGTGTTTTGTGTTTAAATTAGCAAAAGGGAGATTCACATTATATAATATTGAATGAAATTGAAAATTTAAATACCTTTTGGAACGTTTTTGAATTAGGTAGGGTTTTTAACAATCATTAACGGGAATGGTTTACACACGGTTAATTTAACATATTAAAACAGAAACTACACAAAAACGCTATTGTGATTGAATTACCTTCGCACTGTCGATATTTTTGTTTATGTTTTCCTATGATTAATTTATAATATAAAGAATTTTTAAAGCACCGGTTTGAATCAGCTGGTCTTCCTGGGTGATCTTCTTAGGGACAATTCACAATAATGTTATAGTCAGCTAGACATTTTCTATTTCTATATTGAGGTGTGTTTTTAAAATTATTTTTTTTTTATTCCTTATACTACATTTACATTGACGTAGTATGAAAAAATTGTACGTATATACAAATGGCAAACAAATTATGTAAATAATGCGTTAAATAATCTATACCATATACTTGACATGTGTTTTTGAAACGCCTTTTAATTAGGTCGCTACATATAAAGCCCTACATAACATATGTTATTGTTTATCTGTATTTTAAAATACCGTTTACATGATGAAAAATTTGTTTTTGCATTACAATTATTCTTAATTTAAAGTTCACTTGCAAAGTATATATTTATAAATCCCAATATGTAAAAAAATACAATTATTCTCACGTCAATCAATTTATTGGCTATTTTTAGTGTTTTAAATGATTTGCTTGCAAAACACAGCTATTAACATGATAATTGTATGGAAGCATTACTAAGGGGTGTTAAAGACAAGCCCAGTAAATTCATATATATATAATATATATTACAGATACACATATTGAAATGGGAACAATTAAATGGTCAGTATTTCTTAATGGCCCATCACCCTTGGTGATAAGCTTTTGCAAAAAAAAAAAAACTTCAGAAACCGCAAAAAATATTTTATTTTCTTATCTCCAATGAACTACACCACACAAACCGTTAATTGTTTGCTATCAAAAAATTAATTCTACTTCAAATATATCTTTAAATGTGAAATTATTAAATGAACGTATACTTGGCGTATCTTATCGTAACGCAACACCAAAGGTAATCTCTCATATTCACATTTGTTTAAAAAAATGTATGCCCCACTTAATTGAATAATAAACAAAAGAAACAACACAAATAATGGTTTTGTTGTTGTTTTCTTAATTTTAAAAAAATTTGCGTTCTCCTACAAATGATAAGAAAGTATTTAAATGTTATCTAAGATGAAAAGTTCAAGACATTTGTTTGCTCCTTGGAAAGTTTTTTTGGCCCAAAACGCCAAATCGGTTAATCTTGACATTGTCATAGTTTAAAGAGATAATTATTTTGTTTATAAATTGGTTGGAGATAATAAATTTATATGTTTACTTACCTTCTACCTTAATCAAAATGTGTTAATAAAACATTTCATTGGTTTATTTGCACGTGCATTAAACAAAACATGTACACAAATGAATAAATAAATATTTATGGTACAAAGTCCAGTGACCGCTATTTTTTTACAAAAGTCATATGACTTTCCAAAAAAAATGAAAATATGTATTGTTAATTTTTTTGTAATAATATAAACACCTATGCACATTGTTTGATGCATGCACTCCATTTGATCTCCTAAACGAGAGAGAAAAAACGAAAACAAAATGTCATTACCTTGTTAGATTTATTTATCGAAATGTAAACACAATCAAAAATTTGTTTTTCAATTTGTTTATGGCTGGCTCATTGACGTCAAATGTGCTAAAATGTTAACTTGATTTTGTTGAAAATTCGCTCTCTACTTCTGGGAGAATTAGTAAGACTGGAATCATCAAATATCAATTTCTCTTCAATATAAATACATACGGTATTTAATTCACATATAAATCAGTGAATTGACAATATAAATTAGGTGATTTATTACAAGAGATTTAATGTAAATAGGTTTACTAAAGCCATCGAATTTAAATCTGGAAATTGACATTCTAGGGCAATAAGAAATCTAATTTCTTGTCAAAATAAACACCAAACATGAGAAACAGCTGATTTTCCTCTGTGACCTTATTACTAGGCCTTAATGTAAATAAACAC